CTCTGCCGTCGCCTTGTTCCCTGATACGAAATTGTGAATCAGCTTCTCCAGCTCCTTCCAGACCTCCGCCGGCGGGGGGTACACTTGCGCCTGAAAGGCCATGACCGGGTGGATGTAACAGTTGGCGACAGCTGCTCTTGCCTTGGTAGTGAGAAATTTCTGTTTCCACTTCAACAGCCTCTTTGCTATTTCCTCCAGTGCCTTCTCCCACGTTGGCAGGCTGCTACCGCTTGGAGTCACCCATACTCCGAGCAGTCTCTCCGCCTCATCCGGCTCCGCCCACTTGAAACTCCCCAACGGCTCTTTTCCCAGGTTTGCACCCAACGGTAATACCACCGATTTTTCTTTGTTTGTCGCAAGCCCCGACTTCCGTTCAAAATCCTCCAGGATCTTATCCACCTGCGCTATCTGTTCCTCTCCTTGCAGTATGAGTGTGGTGTCGTCGGCGTAGCCCAAATAGGACAGCCGTTGGTCCTCCAGACACAACCCGAGCTGCCTCCTTTCTACCTCTTGTGCCAACGGCTCCACCGCACAAAGGAACAGATATGGGGCCAGCGGGCAGCCCTGTCTCACCCCGGAGACTACGCTGATGCCTTGCCCGATCCAACCGTTTACTAACAGCTTTGTTGTGGTGTGTGTGTGCAACCCCTCCACCCAAGCCACAAACCGAGGCGGGAAGCCCATCTCTTGGAGAATGTTGAAGAGGATGTTAGAATATATCTGTAACTGCCTGTAGCTGTAGTTAGTGTAGTTATTATAAACTTTGTTAGGTGGTGCACCTTCTTTGTTCATTTGCTATATGTTCTTGCAAACCTATAGTGAATCCATTCCATTCTCCAATTCTCGCCTCTCTGCTTGGCACAAACTCCCTCGACTCCCTTGGCCTAGGCTACTAAGCCTAGGCCCTCACTTAAACCTAACTACCACTTGTGCCACTATCTTAACATGGCATTAGAGCTTGTTACGTCCTGGCCTGTGGGCCAGCCTCACGCTTCCGCATCTGCTTTTCCGGTCGCGCGCCTCGGGCGCGTGGCGATTTTCGTTATGTCCCGCGCACGGGTGGCGCGTGACGTTTGTTCTGCCCTGAGCCGTAGCGGATCCACCCCTGGCGCCCGCGACGGTGCCTGCCTGCCCGTCGTGCGCCCCGTGGCGCGCGACGGTGCCCTGAGCCGCCGCAGACCCGCCCCTGGCGCCCGCGACGGTGCCCTGAGCCGCCGCGGACCCGCCCCTGGCGCCCGCGACGGTGCCTTGCGCCGCCGCGGACCCGCCCCTGGCACCCGCGACGGTGCCCTGAGCCGCCGCGGACCCGCCCCTGGCGCCCGCGACGGTGCCTTGCACCGCCGCGGACCCGCCCCTGGCGCCCGTGACGGTGGCCTGAGCCGCCGCGGACCCGCCCCTGGCGCCCACGACGGTTCCTTGGGCCGCTGCGGACCCGCCCCTGGCGCCCGCGACGGCGCCTCTGCCTCACATGCGCCTGCACTCGGTGCAGCCGCCCGTACCTCACCTCGCGCCTGCCTTCGAGCAGCCGCCCCTGCCTCACCCGCGCCTGCCCTCGGAGCAGCCGTCACTGCCTCACATGCGCTTGCACTCGGTGCAGCCGCCCGTGCCTCACATGCGCCTGCACTCGGTGCAGCCGCCCCTACCCTACCCGCGCCTGCCCTCGGTGCAGCCGCCCCTGCCCTTCCCTGTGCGCCACCCCTCTGTGGCTGTGGGGCGGCTTCTTCCCCGCCACCCCCCCCCCCCCCCCCGCCCCTCCTCCTTCTTCTTCCTGCTGCGCGTGCAGCCGTGGGGGGGAGGGTATGGAGGTGGCGGGTATGGGGGAGATGGGTGGTATGGTCCCTTCCCCTCCTCCTCCTTTCGTTCCCACTGCTGCAGCTGCCGCTGGGGGGAGGGTGTGAGGGTGTGGGGGAGCCAGGGGAGTGGCATTGGGGTGGCGGGTGTGAGACATCCAGCCCCCGTCCCTCTGAGGTGGGGGGGGGGGGGAGGAGAGTAAAGGGGTGGCGGGAGTGCCTGCCCCCCCTTTGCTGTTGTACCTGCTTTGTAACCTTGCCTGTTGCCTGCTATTGCTGTTTTCTCAGTTCGTGGTGTACCCATCCAGGTGGTGTCGCTGCACAGACTCCTGCTTCTGGCAGTTATGGGGGAGTGTTAGAATATATCTGTAACTGCCTGTAGCTGTAGTTAGTGTAGTTATTATAAACTTTGTTAGGTGGTGCACCTTCTTTGTTCATTTGCTATATGTTCTTGCAAACCTATAGTGAATCCATTCCATTCTCCAATTCTCGCCTCTCTGCTTGGCACAAACTCCCTCGACTCCCTTGGCCTAGGCTACTAAGCCTAGGCCCTCACTTAAACCTAACTACCACTTGTGCCACTACAGAGGAAACTCGACACCGAATCAAAAGCCTTCTGGAAATCCACCAGAAGCAGGTACCAGTCTTTGTTCCCGTTTTTAGCCGCGTCAATGATGTCTGCGACCAGCGCCACGGCATCCGCAAGCCTCCTTCCGGGAATGAAACCGTACTGCTACGGAGAAATCACCAGGTGAAGAACTTTTTTGATTCTGTCCGCCAGAACCTTCGCCAGGATTTTGTAGGAAAAATTTAGTAACGTGCTGGGCCTGTAGTTATTGAGCTGACTCCTGTCCCCCTTCTTATGCAGGAGAATGGTGACCGCCTTGTTTACTTCCTCCGGGAGCTCTGCAATTGCGGTGAAATCATTTACCACTGCCATGAAACTGCTGCCGAGCACGTCCCAATGTTCTTCAAAAAGTTCCTTCGGTAAGCCATCCGCACCTGGAGATTTATTTTTCGCTAGCGACTTGAAAGCCGCTTTCACTTCCTCCTCTGACCAATCTGCTACCAAACCCTCCGCATCCGTCTCGCAGAACCTCCGCTTCGGCGACCAATTAGAGAAGTCCACCCTCCGATCCTTTCCGAAGAGCTTATGGAAAAAACCCGACGCTGCTTCCAGGATCTGCTTCGAGTCTGTTACCAGCCCGCCGTCAGCCTGGAGTTCCGTGATTTGGGTACGACCTTTCCGCGCCTTAACCGTCGATGAGAGCGCCTTCGACGAAACCTCCCCAACAAATTCCACTTTTAAGCCAGCCATCAGATGAAGCCTGTCCCTCCGTGATGAATGATAATCATTCACTTGCGCCTCTCTAACACCCAGTAGCTCTCTCCGTCTGGTGCACAATGGGTGAGCCATGGCCTCCTGCCTCAGCGCCAACACAGACACGGTGAGATGAAGGCGAGTAGCCCGGATCCTCTTCCGCTCCCCTGTCATGTATGTTTTAAGCCCAGCACTAAGTCTTGCAATCAGTAACTCGTAGCTGCGACCATCTGTCACCTCAAAATTCTGCGTCACCTCTTCAATAATCTTCCTCACCCCTGGTCTGTTCAACAAAGCCGCTTGCATTCTCCACAGTCCAGGTCCAGTGTGTACACTAGCATCAGTCTTAAGTCCAACTTAAATCCCAAAACCATGGTCTGATACCTTTTCAATCGGAGAGACGTGTTTGGCTAGCTCCAGTCGAGAGAGGAGGGATAAGGAGATGAGAGCGCGGTCAATGCGGGAGCTCGCCTTCTGCGAGTGCGAGTAAAAGGTGTATTCACGTTCTCTAGGGTGAGCTGAGCGGAAGGCGTCAGAGAGCTGAAAGGTCTTGCATCGGTCATACAATTTAACATTCTCATTGGCCGTGCCCTTTCCCGATGTCTTGTCTAAGTCTGGGTTCTCTATCATGTTAAGGTCGCCTATAATGAGCAGGTTCGCGCTACTGGGGATCTGATTAATAACCGGACCGAGGACATCAGCGACAAAAGACGTTCGTGAGCTTGGATCGGCAGGGAAGTATACTGCTAAGAGGGTGATGGTGAGGCCAGGGCTAGCGACATCGACTCTGATGATGCGGTTGGAGGGGTGAGTTTGGATATTATCATAGGTTAAAGACTGGTTACGGCTAAGGACGGCTATTCCGCCAGCTCTTGATTGAGGTGAGGTAGTTGCTATTGTCTGGAAAGAGGAAGATGACCAGTAAGGGTGGGTTGCTATGATTTGTGTGTCTATCAGAACTACTATGTCGGCTGCATCTCTAACCCAATCCGAAATCTTGATTTGCTTTGAAATGTTACTGAGGCCATTGACATTGAGACTCGCACAGGTGAGGAGGTGGTTGTGACTCATTTGACCACTGAATGGCAGCCCCTATGCATCCACAGGCTGGAAAGGACGACTACACTGGTGAAGCTGGCTAAGGCTGAACAGCCGACTGCTAAGACGAAGGACCGTGCGAGTTTCCGCTTCAGAGACCGTACAACCTCTTCATGGCGGCAAGGTTGGACATCTCGAGGGAGCCCTTGGTGGCAGAGCCCAGCTTCTCCAACTCGATCATGTGCGAAGCAAGGCTGATGTGGTGAAAGGCTGACATGAAACTCTCCCCATGCGCTTTGTTGCAGCCAGCTTGAGTGCAAAGCCATTCTTCCCGGTTGCTTCCCGTGGAAATCAGGGTCAGTGCTGGGTCGCGGAGAAGAGGAAGAGTCAGCGTGGATGCTTTCTGGGAAGCAGCTGCATGCGTCAAGAAGGCCGTCAGTAAAGGAAAAAAGAGGTATGCGAAAGGATGAGCTGGTGAGCGTCGGAAAGGTAAGCGAAGTGACAATACCGTTCAACCGATGCACCTTCCCCAGAGTCAAATTCCATTTCCCAACATTATACTGACGCTCTACGGTGAAAACATTATGAAACTTATCATAATACTGACCCCCGCAGAGGGAGCAGGACAAAGCCGGGTAGTGGAGCAGGATCTTCCTTGCACGGTCAGCCGGGTCTGCGACAGCATGGATCCAATGACGCTGATCCCCCTGGTGCAGGTAAACCAATCCCTTAACCACGTCTGTGTCCGCGCCGGTGACTGGATGCAGAACACGGTGGACATTGGAGCAGCGCGCGAAAGCCGGGCGATCCGTACTCTTCAGCGGGTAAGTTACCAGCCGATCAATGATTATCTACAGATCAACCGAAGCAGAGACTCCCTTCAGCACCACCTCCACCGCCTGTGGGTTACAAGCCTTCTCCCTTGCGAAGCCAGCATGTTCAGTGTGCTGCCAGTAGAGCTTGACCAGGTGACCATTAAGACGCTGATACACCACTTCTTTCCTTGTCACTTTTGCCGCGTCATCAGGCAGAGTGAAGGAGAGCTGCAAACGGCAGTAGCGCGTCTTGGCGATGTACGCAGGCTGCAGCACCTGGAACTTCGTTGTCAGCAGCACTTCAGCGGTAAGCTCTGCGTACCAGCCACATTTCATTCGCATTTTGACCGCATCCATGACACAGACAATCTCCGTATTAAGCGAAAACGGAATCAGCAGAATAACAGTGGTCCGAAGCCTGGACTCGGTCTCCTTCTCCAGATCCACCAACATTTCGTCGTCCGAGTCTTCATCATCCAAGAGGATTTCGTCAGCACCACCGTGAACAGGTAACTTGGCATTCTCAGCAACCGAAAGGCCAGATCCACCAGCCACAGCGTCATTGTCGGCTGCGCCAAACTCCTTCCCTCCCGTTGTCTGAACACTTTCCGATTGCAGCGGTGCATCAGGAGCAGGAGGAACACCCGCGTTAGCAGTAGACACGTCCACGGGAGCCTTGGAGCGCGAACCCTTGGGGTGAGCCATAGTGCGATGATGAGATTCAGGCTGCAAGCTGACCAAAAGCTTGTCACTGTGGAAGGCTGAGAATGCCTGTAATGCCTGATGACTGAGCACATCCTTGTTAAATAGCTGAGCTGCCTTGACATTGACGAAGCGCAAGGGATGTTTGGATAATCCCGAAGGTAGAATCTCGAAGTTGCTTCTTGGAATAGTTGTAATAGGTGTATCATGAATACTTGTTGTTAAGAAGCCCGATGATAATAAACGCGCTGATGGAGAAACACGGAACCTTGATAATGCCTGACGTACAACAGGGTCTGGTGTCTCGTAACAGGAGATATCAATGTCATCAAAAATGACAGATAATCCATATCGAAAGTTACGGACGAAACCAATGCGTGTATCTCTTGTCCGAAAAGGATGACATTGTAGCGTGTTAATAGTCTCCGAAGGTCGCGGTAAAATCCATGGCTGGCAGAAAGCGGAGAGCATTGTCGCGAGCATGTGCCGATCGCGAGTTATCTGAAAGGCCTATAATGCTGCTGGATTCAATCACAAGCGTGCATACTGACCGAACCGACCGACGCATTGTTCTCTCTGTACAAATACAGTGAATACCATATGTATTCCCATTTCCTTTAAATTATACCATTCCCCACCCCCCTACCATGTTTTAACCTATTGGATCTATGTAATTTGGCAGATATAGACATTCTAGTCGTACATGGTACCTGCACTACAGGCGCGCATACCGACCAAACTGACCAGCGCATTACTTATGTTTGTAGAGATGCAGTTAGTACCATATTCTTGCCAGTCCACTAGATTAGGCCTTCTACTTCAACAACACTATGTTATAACCTTTCCGATCCACATAATTTGGGAGATTTTAGAGTTCCATTTCCGCCTTGTACCTGCACACAAGCGTGCATACTAACCGAACCGGCCGACGCATTATTCTCTCTGTACAAATACAGTGAATGCCATATGTATTCCCATTTCCTTTAAATTATACCATTCCCCACCCCCCTACCATGTTTTAACCTATTGGATCTATGAAATTTGGCAGATATAGACATTCCAGTCGTACATGGTACCTGCACTACAGGCGCGCATACCGACCAAACTGACCAGCGCATTACTTATGTTTGTAGAGATGCAGTTAGTACCATATTCTTGCCAGTCCACTAGATTAGGCCTTCTACTTCAACAACACTATGTTATAACCTTTCCGATCCACATAATTTGGGAGATTTTAGAGTTCCATTTCCGCCTTGTACCTGCATACAAGCGTGCATACTGGCCGAACCGACCGACGCATTGTTCTCTCTGTACAAATACAGTGAATACCATATGTATTCCCATTTCCTTTAAATTATACCATTCCCCACCCCCCTACCATGTTTTAACCTATTGGATCTATGTAATTTGGCAGATATAGACATTACAGTCGTACATGGTACCTGCACTACAGGCGCGCATACCGACCAAACTGACCAGCGCATTACTTATGTTTGTAGAGATGCAGTTAGTACCATATTCTTGCCAGTCCACTAGATTAGGCCTTCTACTTCAACAACACTATGTTATAACCTTTCCGATCCACATAATTTGGGAGATTTTAGAGTTCCATTTCCGCCTTGTACCTGCATACAAGCGTGCATACTGACCGAACCGACCGACGCATTGTTCTCTCTGTACAAATACAGTGAATACCATATGTATTCCCATTTCCTTTAAATTATACCATTCCCCACCCCCTACCATGTTTTAACCTATTGGATCTATGTAATTTGGCAGATATAGACATTCCAGTCGTATATGGTACCTACACTACAGGCGCGCATACCGACCAGACAGAACAGAGCATTACTTATGTTTGTAGAGATGTGTCAGAATAGTGAAGGAACGAATGACTGAACTAGAAAGCAGGTGGGTACAAGTAGGAAACCTAAAAGTGTTGTACCCTATATGAACTACCCCACTACAGCCTACACAGACTATAGCATATATGTTTGACACACCCCCATAGGCAAAGTGGGGGAGAACAAGAGGTCACAAGACCGGTCAAGAAAGGCAAAGCAAGCTCAGGGTGGATCACGAAGTCACCACGCATTCCGAGCACAAGCAAATGGCCACAAGGCCAGTTCACATGCAGAGTTATATAAAGGAGAACAAGCAATACAGTGATCACAACCTAGCAGGTGTAAGCATGCAGGTATATGTATAGAGATCACAGTACAAACAGAGTCAAGAAGTAAGCAAGTGAGGCACAGTAGGCACAAGGCCTAGAACAGTACAGAAACGCTGATGATCACAAGGCTGAAGTGCCTTGGTGAAGACATCAGCAGTGTTGGCCCGAGTGGCCTCGTAAGCAAGACGAAGCTGACCACGCTGCTGCAACTCTCGAGCAAGGAAGCAGCGCAGATCGATGTGCTTCGTTCTGTGCTCCAGTCTGTGCTCCTGACACAAGGCAATCATGGCCTTGTTGTCGACGTACAGAACTGGAGGAGAACGAGGCGGCTCTCCCAGGTCGGTCAGCAGGTAGGTGAGCCAGCGTAACTCCTGTGCAGTCATGGCCCCTGCGTAGATCTCAGCCTCATAGCTGGAGCTGAGAACAAAAGACGAGCGGGTAGACCGCCACGAAACAGAGCCGGAGCCAAGGCTGAAAGTGTAACCCTGTGACGACCGCTGCGTAGCCAAGTCGTCAGCCCAGGAAGCGTCTGCGTGACCAGTGAGGACAACTCGAGCCCGTCCTCCAAGCACGAGCCCCATGCCCGACGTACTGCACAAGTAGCGCAACACCCTCTTAGCGGCATCCATGTGCTCCTTCCGGTGTCTTCCAGGAGCAACATAGCGTGCCAGGATGCTAAGAGGGTATGCCAGGTCAGGTCGAGTGCAGGTCATCAGGTACATGAGGCAGCCCACAAGCTCTGGATACGGGCCACTTGGCTCTACGGACTCATCCGAAGGCAGAGCTGAGAGCGAGTGGCGAGTAGGCAGAGGAGTGGACTGTGGCGAGTAGTACGTGAAGCGGAAGCGCTGAAGGACCTGCTGCACCATGTGTGACTGAGTCAAGGTAATGGTGCGCTGTGCTCTGTCCCGGGTGATCTGCAAGCCAAGATAGCTGCGCAGCACACCCAGGTCTGTGCACGTGTGTCTCTTCTGCAGCTCTGACTTCACGTGGGCGAGTCTCTCTGTGTCAGAAGTAGAAAAAACCAAGTCGTCAACGTACACGAGGACGTAGAACGGCGGCAGAGAGGTGTCAGTGCGTAGAAACAGCGACGGGTCAGCAGTAGAAGGAGCAAACCCAAGAGCCGCAAGAGTCGTCCTCAGTGCGTCGTGCCACTCTCGGGGCGCCAGTTGGAGACCGTAGACTGGCCGCCGGAGGCTCCACTGGGTACCAGCAGGAAACGACCCAGTGAAGCCAGGTGGGCGGCGCAGCCAGATCTCCTTGTGCAGGCTGCCCTGTAGGAAGGCGGTGCTGAAGTCAAGAGAGTGAAGCTCGTAGTCACGCTGAGCAGCGACGTGCAGCAGTACCCGACGAGTGGTCATCTTCGGGGTAGGGGAGAAGGTCTGGAAGAAGTCAACTCTCTGTCGCTGACTGAAGCCTCGTGCATCGTAACGCGCCTTGAAGACAGGCGGAGAACCCGGCGGCCGCTTCACCCTGAAAATCCACATGCCACTGACAATGTTCACCCGAGGTGGGGGAACCTCGTCGACGTAGGTGCCTGTGGACTTCCAGGATGCCATCTCTGCGTCCATGGCTGTCTGCCACTGAGAGGAGTAGGGACCCTCTATCGCCTCTGCGTAAGAGCGCGGGGTCGGGATGTCTGGTGCATCCGGGTCTCCCTCAGGGGCAAGCAGCATGGACACGAGATGAGGTAAAGCAGCGGCAAAGCACTCAAACTCCTCCTGTCTATCCTCAAGGACGTCCGTGCCAAGAGCACTCTCACCCCCGACGGACGGAGGACAGATAGACTCAGACTCAGCAACAAGACTAGCGGCGTAGTCTAGACGACACGCGGCAGCAAAGTCAACAAGCTCAGCAACTACGGCAGACGCAGCAGTGGACTCAAACGAAGGGTCAGTGACAACAGTAGCGAGAAGATGCGTGACAGTAGGACTGGCAGCACGAGCAAGGTCTGACGGTGGGTCAAGGACGTCAGGAAGAGAGGACGCAGGAGGAGACGGCAGAGGGACACGCTGTGGAGCAGTGGAAGGACGAAGTGCCATCTGGTGTGTGCCGGGGACAGCAGGAGGACGCTGACGCGGAACACGACGACCAGTGCGGACAGCGCGAACAGGCGACACAGGACGAGACTCAGGCGACGCAGGACGAGACTCAGGCTCACGACGCTCCGTAAGACCTCTAGTCGGACCAGAGTAAGGAGAAGGACCAGGCAGTGGAGAGGTTGGCTGTAGCTGCGACTGCGACGGGGCAGGCTATGGACACAGTAAGGGAAGAGTGGGACCAGTAGAAGGCGGGAGGCCAAGAACCTGCTGAAGGAGTGGAACGAAGTACGGCCGCGGCCGCGCAGCGCCTCCAACGAGCAGAGACAGCACCAGTACCCCCAGCTCCAGGGTCTCCAGCTCCAACTCCCGCAGCACCACCAGCTCCAGCACCTCCAGCAGCTCCAGCTCCAGCAGCACCTCCAGCAGCAACAGCTCCAGCGCCGCCAGCTCCAACTCCCGCAGCACCACCAGCTCCAGCACCTCCAGCAGCTCCAGCTCCAGCAGCACCTCCAGCAACAACAGCTCCAGCGCCGCCAGCTCCAACTCCTGCAGCACCACCAGCTCCAGTAGCTCCAGTACCTCCAGTACGAGCACCTCCGGCAGCTCCGGCACCAGCAGGACCTCGAGCAGCTCCAGCTCCAGCAGCACCTCCAGCTCCAGCAGCTCCTCGCTGGAGTCTCCAGCGGCGAGCAAACCACTCGCGCAGCTGCGGTGGAGAGAGAGGCTCCCGCCGAGACGAGGCACCTGCAGGAACTCCAGCAGACTCAGTACCCCCAGTCTCAGCAACC